AACACCAAGTTGAGCAGCCTAATCGAGATTTGATGGTAGAGTTCTGCACGAGTGGCCACATTCAGGTTGCTCACACTTTTCTGCAGCAGCAGTTGGAGGAGACAGTCACATTCATGGATGCCGGGGCATTGCCACCAAACGCAACCTCGGATGAACAGTTCAACATTTTGGATGGGTTATTGTGCGAAACCCCTCTGCGTACCCACATTGCTACGCTGGAAGGCCGCCGAGAAGCAGCACTCGCTACATATTTTTCGTGTTTGCTACACTTTCGATGCCAATAAATTGTCAACTACAGATTCAAAAGGACGTCCAAACAGGCATGTGCTGCAGGACCCGATGGCTTTGAATACTTACGTGGGGTCATTATTAGATCACGTGTCTTCGGCGGCGGCGGAATCGATGGATCTGCAAAATATGTGGGGCCAAGGGAAAGCAGCAGTGCATATAGCAGCCAGCGCGTTGCCGAACAAGCAGAATGAAGTCGTCAAGCCATGTATCACGCAAGCCATGTTCGACTTGATCGGCAGGCGCAGCCAAGCAAGAGCAACCAACGACAACCCCGAGGATAATAGACGATGGAAAGAAGCCCGCAAGGCGTGCAAACGTGATAAGACAGTTTGGGTGGATGCACAGATATCGAATGGAAGTTGGGACGCTCTCACAGAGAATCGAACGGCATCGGCGAAGCGAGCCCTTCCAGTGTGGCTCTACGACACCTCGTTGCCTACAAGACGCTGGAGCCCGTTTCTTTATTGGTTGGGGCATGACTGGCGTCATGGCACCCGCTCCCCCCCCCCCCTAATGACGTAACGCTCCCGCCCCCAGTGCGCTCCGCGCATTGCCGCCGTGCGCATTGGGATCCGCGCAGGTGTTCGCGTAGGAACCCGCACAATAGTCTAATCCACAGTCGTCATCATCGTCATCATCATCATCGTTTTCGCTCGTGGCTTGTCGCTCGTCGCTCATAGTCGTCGTGCGCGCGGACGCGGCTGAAGCCTATTTTGATTCTGGGCCGATGACGGCAATCATCTAGGGGCGGTGGAGGGGGTCGATGACGTCACGTTTCGCGCTGGCGGCGTCTGGGAATGCCTAGGAATGACGGAGGACGGGTCGCGCCAGCTTGTAGGTTGCGATTTGTACCGCAACGCCTGTGTACACCACAGTGCCAGCGTGCACCACAGCGCCTGTGTACACCACACCGCCTATGTAGTACACAGCAGCCGCGTGCAACACAGCGTCGCTTTGTGCCAGAAGAGCTCGCTGGCACAACAGCTCTTGTGCACACCACAATGCTTGCGTACACTACATCAGCCGCGCGCATCACAGCACCAGCGTACACCACAATGTCCGCGTGCATTGCAGTGCCTGTGTACACCACGGCGCCCGCGTGCTCCACAGCAGCCGCGTGTAACACAACACTTTTGCATATAGAATGTTACAACGAATTTTTTTTGGCCAAAGTTGAACGCTTGTGGATTCCACAAATATAATGAAACATAATCCTTCTGGACAGCGGAGCGCCGCTGGAATTCACGAGTCCTTCCGACTCCGCCCGCATCACCCGAATTCTTTCCATCTGCGTCCAGGAGGCTCCAGCTAAATTGGCCGTCCGAGAACCAAGTGGGCCGATTCAATACACCATTCTGCGGTGCGCGCTGAGATGCGCACGTGCGCTGTAGCGCCAACCCGCACGACAGGGGGTAAGGAGGAGGAAAAGGAGGAGGAGGAGGAAGAGGAACACAAGGTGGTGGAGGTGGAGGAGGGGGGAGGAAAGAATAATTTCGCATTCGATTAGCAGCACTTTCCTGGCGTGGCGTCTAGTTGTCCTCAGCATATCGTCGCGTACGTGCTCCTTCTACATGTCCTATGCAGGCAGGCGTTGTGGTGTACACCAACGCTGCGTAGCACGCGGATGCTGTGGTGTAGAAGCGCGCTATGGCGTGCACAGGCGCTGAGGTGCACGCAAGCACTGTGGTGCACACGGGCGCTACGTTGCACATGGTAGATGCGCTGTACACATGTACACCAGCGATGTAGTGTACGCAAACACTGTGGTGTACACAGGCGCTGCGTTGCACACGGCTGTTGCGGTGTACGCAGGCGGTGTGGTATACATGCGCGCTGTGGTGCACGTGAGCGCTGTGGTGTACACAAGCGCAGTGGGGCATATCGCCACCTACATACTGGTCGCGTCGTCGTCGTCGTCGCTCGTCGCGTGTCGCGTGTCGCGTCGCGCGCCTGGGCGCGACTGTGGTGCCGGAGCCGCACGGCGGGGGGGGCGTTACGTCATATCCCCCCTGCCCCCCCCCATGACGCTGGTCATCGCCGAACATAAAAAACGCGCTCTTGCAACCTGGACAGTGTAGTGCGTGCGCGTTGTGTTTCTTACCCCATCGCCGCCGCGCGCGGGAACACGTGTGTGTGTGTGTGTGTTTGTGTGCGTGCGTGTGTTATTCGGCAGCACCTCTGTCACCACCGACGGGGAAGGTCGGTGTCGTTGGGCGTCACAGCCACCTCTCTTCATGGTTCCCGCTCCTCG